GGTCAAACCCACCACGGGCATCTCCTCCTCTCCCAGCGAGAGGAGCCACACGACCTCGGACGACCCCGCCACAGGCACGTCCTCGTCGCCCAAGCAGAGTACCCACATGGCCGCGACCGAGTCCACCACTGGCACCTCTTCATCTGCCAGTGAGAGCAGCCATACAATGTCTGTCGAACCCACCACGGGCACCTCTTCCTCTGTCAGTGAGAGCAGCCGTACAACCTCGGTCAAACCCACCACGGGCATCTCCTCCTCTCCCAGCGAGAGCAGCCACACGACGTCAGCCGTGTTCACCACGGGCACCACCTCTTCTGCCAGCAAGAGTAGCCAGACGACCGTGGCTGAGACCACAACAGGAACCTCCTCCTCTGCAAGCAAGACAAGCCACACGACCTCAGCTGAGAGCTCCACGGGCACCTCCTCTTCTCACACCGAGAGCATCTCCGCGACCTCGGCCAAGCCCAACACTGGCACCTCCTCCTCGCCCAGCGAGAGCAGCCCCACGACCTCAGCCAAGCCCAACACTGGCACCTCCTCCTCTCACAGCGAGAGCAGCCACACGACCTCAGTCGAACCTGCCACAGGCACGTCCTCGTCGCCCAAGCAGAGTACCCACATGACCGCGACCGAGTCTACCACTAGCACCTCTTCATCTGCCAGTGAGAGCAGCCGAACAACCTCGGTCGAACCCACCACTGGCACCTCTTCCTCTCCCAGCGAGAGCAGCCACACGACCGTGGCTGAGACCACAACAGTAACCTCCTCCTCTGCAAGCAAGACAAGCCACACGACCTCAGCCGAGAGCTCCACGGGCACCTCCTCTTCTCACACCGAGAGCATCTCCGCGACCTCTGCCAAGCCCAACACTGGCACCTCCTCCTCTCACAGCGAGAGGAGCCACACGACCTCGGTCGAACCCGCCACAGGCACGTCCTCGTCGCCCAAGCAGAGTACCCACATGACCGCGACCGAGTCCACCACTGGCACCTCTTCATCTCCCAGCGAGAGCAGCCTCACGACCTCAGCCGTGTTCACCACGGGCACCACCTCTTCTCCCAGCAAGAGCAGCCACACGACCGTGGCTGAGACCACAACAGGAACCTCCTCCTCTGCAAGCAAGACAAGCCACACGACCTCAGCCGAGAGCTCCACGGGCACCTCCTCTTTTCTCACCGAGAGCATCTCCGTGACCTCGGCCGAGCCCAACACTGGCACCTCCTCCTCTCACAGTGAGAGCAGACACACGACCGTGGCTGAGACTACAGCAGGAACCTCCTCCTCTCCAAGCAAGACAAGACACACGACCTCGGCCGAGACCATGACAGGTACCTCTTTCTCTCCCAGCGAGAGCAGCCACACGACCTCAGCCGTGTTCACCACGGGCACCACCTCTTCTGCCAGCAAGAGCAGCCACACGACCGTGGCTGAGACCACAACAGGAACCTCCTCCTCTGCAAGCAAGACAAGCCACACGACCTCAGCCGAGAGCTCCACGGGCACCTCCTCTTCTCACACCGAGAGCATCTCCGCGACCTCGGCCGAGCCCAACACTGGCACCTCCTCCTCTCACAGTGAGAGCAGACACACGACCGTGGCTGAGACTACAGCAGGAACCTCCTCCTCTCCCAGCAAGACAAGCCACACGACCTCAGCCGAGAGCTCCACGGGCACCTCCTCTTCTCACACCGAGAGCATCTCCGCGACCTCTGCCA